TGAGTTTCGCCTTGATCATATCAAAACATATCGGAATGTGACAAAACTTTGTGAGCATCTCTCGAGCACCCCAAGCTGCCCTTTTCATGCCTTTCGTGGCCGTTCCAGTACGTTTTCAGAGGTTGCCCAGTTTTAGGCTTATTTTTGCAGTGTTCTCATGGCCAGGCAATGTCTTGGGTATCGGCAGGACTAGGTCGTCACTGGCTCTCTCCTTATTCACATGGGCTTATAAAAGTACGACATAATGACTTGCAACAGTCCGGTTAATTGCCTCGGTTGGTCCGGTTTCGATTCAAACCACTCCCAGCCCCATGTCCGGTTAACCGTTCCGATTCGATTTTGCTAACACTGACGGTGACCTTAAGGTTACCCACTGAAACACTGGCTTTAGAAGAGCCAATTGCAAGAGAAGAGGAAGTGTCTTTAGAGCTATTCTTAAAATTGAGACTGATGGAGAGTCCAACAGTAACTGTATGGGCATGAGGTGCAGTGGTTTTAGAACCACCCATGCAATTAACAATAATGGATTTACCATTGATGCTAGTATAGAGGGGACAAAGGGTTTGAGGGCGGACAAAGGGTTTGAGGGCCCTTTCCCAAGTTTACCTAGGCTTGAGCCTTGGTGCGAAGAGTTAAGTGACTTCGCAGGAGATAAGCGAGAGCAGTAGATTGAAAACCCTTGCTTCCCATAAATGAGTTCAAGAATGTAGGGATTATGAAATCCCCAACCCGGAGGTAGGAGTTAGTGAACTCCATAGCTATTTTTAGGTGAGAGTGAAGTGTTATATCGGTTTTTGAGTGGACTGAACTAACTATAGGGTGGCGTGTCCCAGTGGATTTGCTAATTGGTAGGGACTAGATTCTCATCGCTTGGGCGCTTGGAGGAGCATGGCTCGATAACCCCCTCTCAAACAAGCGCTTGACCCACGTGTGCATGTGTGAGCGTGTGTCATGTGCGGATAGGTATCCAACAATGAGAGGACTTTAAAATGGTCAAGAGGTGGACTCGAACACCTATCTCATCAGTTGAGTTCGTGAGACACGCCCAGGCCTTAGCCCTATTAGATATATCTGAGAGCCCTCTGGTTGTCCTCGTGTGCGACTTGAATTCGGCCCCCTCACTCGTCGATACTACACTAAGACTCTCACTCAAAAATAGCTCTTGAAATTCACCTATTGTAACCTCCTCTTAATGTGTGTTCTTATGTGGAATGGGAATTCTAGTTTAGATATTAAAGTGATAGAGAAGAAGAAGAAGAGATAGATAAGAAAATGAAGAATAAAAAAAAGGAATAATAGTGGATTGGGGGGGGGGGGGGCAGTGTAAAGACTGGAGGCAAGAAAAGCTACTAGGCACGAAACCCCAGTATCCAGAGGATTTTAAAAGGAGTGAAGTCTTTTTGTTTATTTATTTATTTATTTTATATATATATATATATATGGAAAAATCTGGGATTAGCCCACTAGCTCATATGAACATGTGAGCCCAACAATCTGAGCTGATATGACGGTCACGATCTCATTTCGTATTTGAATTTTTATTTTTTTCTACAAATCCAAATTACTTAAAATTTTAGGTGTATGTTCTTCTCATCAAGGCGCAATTAATAAAAAAATAAAAAAATTTATTTACAAAAATAAAATAATCAAAATACCCCCAAAACTTTTCGAGGGTATTTTGATCAATTTATTTCCTGTAAAATATTTTTTTGATATTTTTCTAAGATTCAAATATTTTTGATGAACACACTCCTAAAATTTCAAGTGATTAGAAATTGTAGAAAAACAATTAAAATTAAAACACTACCGAACATCCGTGATCGTCAGATTGGGCCAGATTCAATCTGGGAAATTGGGCTTATATGTTCATATGAGCTAGTGGGCTAATCCCAACCTTTTCCTATATATATATATATATCATCATCACCGTCCAAAGTTCATCGCATGTTCACAATTGCCCATTAGTATTTCATTTTTTATTTTTATTTTACAAATCAGAATGATCTGAAATTTGGAGAGTGTGTTTATAAAAAATAGGTGAATCTACGAAAAATATCAAAACAATATTTTATATGAAATAAATTGACCAAAATACCCTCAAAAATATCTTGATCAATTTTGTTTCACGAATTATTTGTTTTATATTTTTATTAAGTGTGCCTCACTAAGATGTATGCATGTTTCAAATTTCAGATCATTCTGATTTGTAAAATAAAAAAAGAAAAATGAAACACTACCGCACAATTATGACTATGCGATGAACTTTACATGGTAATGAGGGTAGGCGAAATCACTGTTCATTTTGCCTATGAGCGTTGGGAAGAGCTTTCCATATATAGAATATATATATATATATATATATGGACAACGTTTTTGTACGGCTATGTGCATACTGCTACTACAGTAAACGCTCAACGGCCCAGATCGAATCTGGGCCGATTCGACGACCACAGTTGTCTGAGAGTGTTTGAATTTTAATATTTTTTCTACAAATTAAAATAATTTAAAATTTGAAGCATGTGTACATCTTAGTGAGGCGCGCCTCATAAATATATAAAAATAATAATTTGCAAAAAATAAATTGACCAAAATGACCCTGCAACTTTTTGGAGGTATTTTGGTCTTTTATTTCATGTAAAATATTTTTTTGATATTTTTTGTAGATTCGCTTATTTTTATGAATACATGCTCCAAATTTCAGATTATTCTGATTTGTTGAAAGAAAATGAAAAATAAAACACTATCAGACATTCGTGATTGTCAAATCGGCCCAGATTCGATCAGGGTCATTTCGATGTTTATTGTAGCAGTATACAAATTGGCGTACCGTAGCATCTTCCTATATATATATATGAGGTTTGTCTAGAGTTAACAACCCCTCAAAATACAAAGGTTCAAGTTAGAAGGGGTTGTGATGGGTGTATTTATCAAAACAATCATTTTTTTAATTAAAAAATTATTTAAATATATAACTTTACCACTAAGCAATGGCAAGTTTGAAATTTTCACAAAAGTACAATAGTATTTTGGGAATTAGTGTCTTGGAACTTTATTTGTAGAATATCATTGTCCTTTAGTTAAAATTTCAATTTTAGTCGTTATGGAGATGACAAAAATACCCTTTGTCTTATAGTAATATTTACAAATTTGCGCCACAAAAGTAACTTTTGTTTAAAAATAGACAACAAAATTAATAAATCCACCTTTCACAACTCTCTCTATCTTGAACCTTTGTGAAGTTTAGAATATCCCATATATAACTTTAGCATCATGCATATTATTATGTAATTTCCTGAGAATGAATATCAAAGAAGTTCTTATGTTTTACATTAACTTCTCATGCTTTTAATTTTTCCCATAACTCATCATCTTGCTTTGTTAATAAATTGAAGATGGAATTGAAGTTTTTGACGAAAGTTATGTGCCTGCAAAATAGGTTATGACCATTTTTTTAGAAAGTTCTATGCCTGAAAAATAGATCATGAAAAATAAAGAGAGAGAGAGAGAGAGAGTGAGAGAGAAAGAGAGAGAGATGATATCATATTTGGTAGTAACTATAAGATTGATCATTATCTAAGTTAATAAAAAGTAAGAGAAATCCCAAATTCTAAGAGATGCCTTCCATTTTTAAAAAAGTATATATTCCCTAAATTGTGTATTTGTCTTTTTCTCAATTTTTGAGGACTATGAGATTTTGTTAGAAAACCAAATATGAGAGAGAGAGAGGGAGAGCGCTTCTCTATCCAATCACACAATTTCTAGGATAGATTACTTTCCTTTTAAAATTTAGATGATGAAGATAGAGTTAGAAAATAGCTAAGGAGATGAGATAGATGGAGAGAGATTTAAGGAGAGGATATAAATGGGTGATATTGTACATCTTCTTCTAAAGAATATCTTTCTAAGAAAATAAATCCACCTAATCCATATTGCTTACTATCTAGCTCTTCATTGCTTCCAAACTTTTTCTTCAAGTAAAAGTCCAATTATATTTGATACCCTAATACATGAACGGCAAAAACAGGTTAGGGAGAAAAATTAGTAAGGTTTTTCTTTTTTTTAATAAATACATGATATGAAATTATCAATAGAGATGAAAACATTAGAGAGAAAGCATTTCCCATCACCCAACCTTGCTTATTTTGTTGACAAGTGTCTTTTTTTTATTATTATTATCTATTTTTTTACTATTTATGAGATATGCATGTAAATGTCTCTTTTTATGTCCTCCCACTCTCTCTCCATATTTAAAACTATATTTGATATACATGTAAATTTTTATGGCCTAACTCTCTCTCTCCATATTTAAAACCCTATTAGATATGCATGCAAATTTTTTGGGGATGTTCCTACATTAGATATACATGCAAGCTCTTCTTTTTATGGCCTCTTTGTGTGTATTCACATTTATAATGTAGCCTTTCTCTTTCTCTTTTTTAGTTACCCTAGTCCCTCTCTCTCTCTCTCTACGTGGTCTCTGTCCCTTTGTCTTTCAACTTAAGTTTTATCTCTCATCCTGGTCTCTCTCTCTCCACATTTAAAATTTATTAGATATGCGTGCAACTTTTTTGAAAATGATCATTCATTAGAAAACCGTAATAGTATTATTAAAACTGCAAGAGTTGCTAAGGGATCGTGATTTTCTATATTTATGGCACATATGATTTGAGCACTCTTATTACATGAATGATACATATAGTTGCATTCTTAAACGTAGTCAGTCTTGATATCCTAGTGCATTGCAGATGTTATCCAGCAAAATAATACTATCATCTATAGTATGAAGATATTTGCTTTATGTATTTTCATATTTCATTCTTAGGTGCAACACACGTAATCCATAATTTTATTTGGAGTTTAATATATCTTAAAAATTCTTGTTAAGATTTTATATTTTAAGTTAATAAACTATAGTTTAAAAATATTTTGACTTTTGTTTTTTAGATTTGCATATCATCATTTAAAAAATTTAAATATAATTTAAATAAAACTCACTTCTCTTCGCACCTCTGCATTCTCCACACGCCTCTCGCCTGCAACTGCCAATCGGTCGCCCTCACTTCTCGCCTGCAACAACCAGCAGCTCACCTACAACATCCAGCCTCTCTTCTTCCTTCCTCGCCATATTTGAAGGTAACTCTCTCCTCTCTCTCTCTCTTGCATTTATAAAAAATGGTATTCTTCTCAACTCTCTCACTCTCTATTGAGAAGGGTTTCACAACTCGCTCCCTCTCTCATCTCTCAGATACCCCAGATCTGCTTGCAGTTAACCTAGCCCTTTCTTTCCCTCTCTCTCTCAAATTGATTTATTTTACAGATCTACCAAAAAAGTTAGCCTGTCCTCTCTCAATCTCTCTAAAAAATGTCACTAGTTTTTTTTTTGGGGGTGTGATTGTTAGGTTTATATGAAATAGAAATAGAGGTCACTATATTTTTTTTCTTGAGAATGTTAGTTGAAGAGCTAGGCTTTTTTCTTTGTCTTGTCTTTGATTGTTACCTTTAGAACAAGATTGGTCCTGAAAAAGTGCTTGGATTTAGGGCATGTTTGATTCGCGTGAAATATTTTTCTTGTAGGAAATTAATTTTTTAGGAAATGGATTTCTTAGATTTAGATTTCACATGTTTTTTTTCTCATGTTTGGTAATACTATCTAAATTTCCTATGAAATCATTTTCTTTCGTTTGTTAAACTATTTGGGAATCTACTCTTCCGAAATATGGAATGTTAGCTATTTTCTCTTTCTAGAAATCCAATCTCTCTTTCTGTCGCTAAAAATCCAATCGCTCTCTAAAACCCATCCTCTCTGTTTGGAAACCCAATCTCTCTTTCTCTAGCTAAAACCCTATTCTCTCTCTAGAAACCCAATCTTACTTACCCTTTTTAAAAATCTTTTATCTTTCTCTATTTAAAAACCCATTCTCTCTCTAGAAACCCAATCTTTCTTTCTCTTTCAAAAAACCCATTATCTCTTTCTCTCTCTAAAAGCCCAATTTATCTTTCTATTTAAAAAGCTATTCTCTCACTAGAAACCCAATATCTCTCTAAAAACTTATTATATCTCTAGAAATCCAATCTCTCTTTCTCTCTCTAAAATTTTATTCTCTCTTTAAAACTCATTCTCTCCATTTCTCTCTTTAAAAACTAATTATCTGTCTAGAAACTCAATCTCTCTTTCTCTTTCTAAAAACCCATTCTCTCTTTCTATCTCTAAAAACTCATTCTCTCTCTAAAAATCCATTTTTCTTTCTCTCTAAAAACATATTTTCTCACTAAAAACCCAATCTCTCTCTCTGAAAACCATTCTCTCTCTAAAAACTCAATCTTTCTTTCTCTCTCTAAAAATCCATTCTCACGCTTTAAAAATTTGATCTCTATTTATCTTTAAAGATTAATTCTCTCTCTAGAAACCCATCTCTCTAAATCCAATCTCTCTGTCTCTCTATAAAATACATTTTCTCTCTCTAAAAACCCAATATCTCTTTCTCTTTCTAAAAACTCATTCTCTTTTTTCTCTCTAAAAAACAATCTCTCTTTCTCTCTCTAAAAGTTATTATCTCTCTCTAGAAACCCAATCTCTCTCTCTAAAGACCCATCCTCTTACTCTAGAAATCCAATCTCTCTTTCTCTCTCTAAAAACCCACCCTCGGTAGAAATTCAATCTCCCTTTCTCTATGTTAAATCCCATTCTCTTTCTCTCTCTAAAAATTCATTCCCCTTCTAACAATATACTCTTCTCTCTAAAAACCCATTTTGTTTATCTAGAAACCCAATATATATTTCTCTCTCTAAAAATCCATTCTCTTTAGAAACCAATCTCTCTCTAAAAATCCATTATCTCTTTAGAAACTCAATCTCTCTTGCTCTCTCAAAAACCCATTCTCTCTCTAGAAACCTAATCTCTCTTTCTCTCTTTAAAAACTCATTCTCTCTCTATAAACCCAATATCTCTTTCTCTATCTAGAGACTCTCTCTCTAAAAACCCAAGCTCTCTTTCTCTCTCTAAAAATCCAAACTCCCTTTCTCTCTCTAGAAATCCAAGCTCTTTTTCTCTCTCTAAAAACTCAATCTCTTTCTCTATCTATAAATCAATCTCTTTCTCTCTCTCTAGAAACATAATCTCTCCTCTCTAGAAACATAATCTCTTATGGGCTGGGCCCAAACCCAATATATTATTTTCAGGTTTGGTTGGGATGGGCCAGGCTTTGATAATACATATTCAGGGGCGGGGTGGGATTTTCGTGCCGGGCCTTACCGGAGCAGGCCAAAGCATTTTCGGGCTTTGCCGAGCCTCGGGCCAACCCAGTCCGATGGCAGACCTCCTTACCGCCCCCGATTATTTTGAAAGAAATTGGAATTACCTATGTAGGTATGATTCCAATTTCTTAGATTTTTGGACACTTTTCATGGAAATTAATTTCCTAAGTAAAAAGATTTTTTACTCTTGTGATGAACCAAACGTGAGAAATTAGTTATTTTTTAAGAAAATAATTTTTAAGAAATCATTTTCATAGGAACCAAACATGCCCTTAATTTGATTTGTTTTTCTGTAAATTTGATATTTATTACCGTTAGGATCTTTGTGGAATGTGATGAGCTCTTTGTTCATTCAAGTTGTGTTTTGCATTGATCTGCATGGTTATTCTTCTCTTTTGGATATCCAACAAGTTCAAGTTCTCTTTTCTTTTAGTAATCTAAAGTTCTAGTTTTTTGCTTTGCGTGATGGATGGTTGCCTATGCATGGATTTGACTTTGATTTGGATATGATCATTAGCTGTTTAATCGTAATTAGCATTTTTCCCCTTGTTCTAATTGTTCTTCTGTGTTCCTACTATTATTTCTCTCTCTGAGATGGTAGTTTATCTATATTTATATTGGCATCTAAATATTACATTCTCTATTGACTTTATTTTGTTAAGAACCATTGAGTTCTATGATTTAGCAAGGGTGCGGTTTGTATGGAGCCAAGGCTCTAAACAACTCACCTTCAAATAGTATCGAGAAATGTGGTTTTAATACTGAAAATATTTGTAATAGCCTTAAAATATATTTTTATATTTAATTATACAATTTAAAGCTTCAAAAAGAGTGTAGATCAAGCAGATCTATGGAAACTTGAAAATCTAAAAAATTGACGGTCCAAAAATGCGTTACAAGATGCACTATTTCCAAAATTTGAAATCTATTTTTTTCTTATGTCCACGCATCTTGATGTTGCGATGATCAATTTGAAGATATCTGGGCATCAAAACAACCTCTTCTAGTAAATTTTTTGAAGTGAGCTCTAATTTGATTGTTTAGATACTCGACTGTATATAAACTTTTTCTTTATATAAATATATTTGGTCAAATATGGTTTTTGACAAATGCATGAAATCACTCCCCTATAATACAAGGTATGCACCAAATAATTAACGAAAAGAATAATATACAATGAGAGTGTTTACCTTTAGTACAAGGTGGTTGCAATTAATATCGACCATTAGATATGAAATTGTGTGACTGCATTTAGTCTACCAAGTGCAAACTTCAAAAGAAATTTTCTCGAACTTTGTCACACACTCGAGTTATCAAATTTCACATCAGATGGTTATAAGTATCGTGGCCTCCTTGTATGAGAGGTAAATGGTCTCACTGTATATAATCCCTTAACAAAATAATATTATATAAAGTGTATTAATTTCACATGAGATAGCCTTATCCTAATTTTTAAGACAAGGAGACCCTCTTTCACCATTTTTATATACTTTGGTAGCTGAAAGCTTTAGTGTCATGCTTAATGGATTGACAGTGCAAAGGATCATATCAGGTGTTAATATTGGTAATAATGGTCTTATAATATCACATTTACAGTATGTTGATGATACCATTATATTATGTGATCCCACGGTTAAAGAAATCACTTGCCTATGGATTTTATTGAAAAGTGTGAAACTTTCAATTAGGCTGAAAGTTAATTTGAGTAAAACTAAGCTCATTGGTATCGGTTGTTCGCAAATGCTAGTTTCAATAATGACACATTTATTAGGTTGTGGTGTTGAGTCTTTCTGGGTGCTTATTCTGAGAGATAAATATGGAATGGATTTGAACTTTGGCCTCATTAAAAGTCCAAGAAACAAGATAAGTTTGTCCCATGTTTGAAGAGGTATTGACTATGAGAGATCTATGTATCTACGACAATTCCGAAAAATAGTGGGGAATGGAGAATCCATTATCTTTTGGTTTGACAAATGGATTGGAGATGAACCGTTGAGATACCTTTTCCCTGAGGTTTTCTCAAAAGCTTTAAACCCACTAGCATCTATCAAGGAGGCTAGTGGGGTGTTTATACTAATATTGTTTGGTCCAATCCTTGCAGATACAGGAGAGGTACAAATAGATTCATTGAGGAGTATCAGACATTGTTGGAATTATTAAATGACACATATTTGGCTCCAAATATGGATGATAGCGCTTCTTGAGGTTTTCTCAAAAGCTTTAAACCCACTAACATCTGTCAAGGAGGCTAGTGGGGATGTTTATACTAATATTATTTGGTCCATTCCTTGCAGGTATAGTAGAAGAACATACATATTCATTGAGGAGTATCAGACATTGTTAGAATTATTGAATGACACATATTTGACTCCAAATATGGATGATAGCTTTATTTGGGATCTTACGCCTTCGGGAGATTTTTTAGTTAAATCAACCTACAATTATTATTTTCTTATCATTGGATAAAGTTGGATGTTGATTTATTTAAAATTAAGACATTGCATGTGCATCTTAAACTGCCGCTACTCTTATGGATTATGTGTCAAAACAAATTAGCAACTGTTGGCAGTTGAAGCTGATTGGTTCCTTGCACATAAGGATAGTAGAATTATTCCTAAAAGTCTTATCATTAGCAATCCCTTGGCAGTGGCGACTATGGGTGTTACCAACAACACTCATAGTGAGGTTATTTGGATACCACCACCAGTGAATTCTTTCAAACTTAATTTTGATGGAAGTTCACTTGACAATCCAGGGCCAGTTGGCTATGGTGGGTTCATCATAAATAATTTGGGTCACATTATATTTTCTTACTCCGGTCCTTGAGGTATCACAACAACAAACGAGGTGGAAGCACGAGGTTTATTAAAAAGTTTGAGACTGCTATGCACTTTGGAAGGGGGCAGGATTATCGAAGGAGACTCGGTAAATGTCATTGCTTGGAGTAAGAGAATGACCCATATTCCTTAGAGATTAAGGACTATTTTTCATCAAATTTGGGATATTTTGTTAACCTCTATGGCAACGGTCCAACAGTGTTATAGAGAGGCGAATGAAGATGCCAATGTTCTTACCAAAGGAGGAGTCCATACTCCCTCTCTATTGGTTACTTCATTTCTGTAATCTTATTTCTTTGCTTGAACATCTTGTATTTCATATATGAATTAATGATACGTTGTACGTTACTGTTAAAAAAAAAAAAGATAGCCTCATCTTAATAAGCCGTAACGCACATACCACAGTATATAATATGAACTAAGGTCATATCAATTTACAACACCATAAACCACATACGATGTGCAACAATTACTCAAAATAGTGAAGCAAGGAAACAAGTGGGATTTTCTTGATAAACTACATGCACAATATTGCATGATTTGAGGATTCTATATTTAACTATTACATTATAGACACCCCCTTCGAAATTCTGGCTAAGGGAACTCCTAAAAAACCTCCATTTTGAGCTTAAAGGACCACACAAATTTTAGTAGACCATAGGCAACCTAGATCTAATAAAAGTGCTCCAAAATTATTGAAGCATATCCCAACTTGAAGTAGAGCCCGAGATAACTCCAACAGTCCAAGAATCACCTGAATCAGACCGACGGATAAAAAGAGCTAACAAATGACGATTTAGTCCTTGTGAGACCCAACTACAGGGTTGTGGGCCGGGCTGTAGTGCAGCCTGGTAGGCCCAAACATTGCCTGATGATGCAATAAAGGTGTTATGACATAATTAATACATTTTATGATGCAGTAAGGGCGTTTTCTTTAATTGAATAAGGCTAAAGCTTCAAGATAAATAAATAAAAAAATCGAAAATATTTCAAACAGATCAAGAACAATCACCAATTGAATTCTACAAATACCCGCTCCATAACCCAAAAAAAGGACAAAGAAAAAATCCCTCAAAAATTTTCAAAATTAGAAAAATAGCCCAAAAATACCCAAAAATAGGAAAACCCTTAGAAATTTCCTAAAATTTAGTAAAAATCTCAAAAAAATAATAGAAAATCTCAGAATTCATATTCAACCTTTGGAGATCCCAAAACCCTTAGAAAACTAAGGAAAATTCTTCTCCAATCCTAAGAAATACCAAGAAAAGCTATAGTAGACCTTACCTAAAATCTTCAGCTTTTCTCATGACTTAAGAACCCTAGATCTAGGTCAAAGAAACTTAGATCTATCAATTCCAACAAAAAAAATGTATTAAAAAAATAATGGTGGCATAAATTGGAAGAGTGGCAAGATCCACGCTTGAAACTCCAGATTTCGGGTCTTTAGAGGTAAGTATCTATATATGTGCATGATTTAATTTGTTTTTCTTCATTTAATTCTCTAATTTATTTTATTTTTCTGTAAATTAATTTATTATTAGATTTAAAAACATTTTTTTTAGGTCAAAATACGGATTTGGATCTGCCGCTGTCAGTGGACTCAGAAAAAAACCAGATGTATAGATCTGTGATTCTTTTGAGCCCATAAAAAAGACCGGAAGTATAGATCTAGGATTCTTTTGAGCCCATAATTCAAGCGACCTCACTTTCTTTACATTTTCAAAAACTAACTCAATTTTTTTTAAGATTTGAGCAGATCTCATCTGAGAAATCGACGCAGATCGGAGTGTAAACATACATCCTCAAAGCACTTTCTTGATATTTTAGAGAAGTCAGATGTCATTCTTGAAGGGTGAGAATTTTTCGGATCAGGTTTGGATCCACCTAGATCTAGATCTGGATCCAAATAGTACATACCAGATCCTATACATTTGGATCAAGATCCAAGTCCAAAATTATAGATAAGATTCGGTTATGAATCCAGATTACTCTCGGCGCTCATTCTCTCTTCCCCCTTTCACACATGTTTGTGTAATCGATCTCTCTCTTCATGTTCTGGTGCAATTTGCCTTTCTATTCAATGATGATTTTTCTACTATACATTTTGTCTATTAATGTGGTTTCCCGTCTTCCTCTCTCTCTCAAATCTTTCGTACTATTTTCTTGCACTAAAAGAGTGCTTGTCTTGGAAGGATGAATGATATGATAAAGGGGATCCTATTAAAAAAATATTGGAACTTGTCGTCTTTCTCTGTCTAACATTCTCTCTCTTAAAATACTTGTAAGTACACGGGATCCTATCAAAATATGAGAACTTGCCGTCTTTCTCTCTCTAACATGCCTTATACTCTCTTAAAGAAGCTTTCCCGATATCTCTCTCCTAATGAATCTGAATGTGTTGGTGGCTCTCTTTGAACGAGCCATATTTTTCTCTCTAACAAGTTCGCTCTTTGAAAATGTCCAATCTTTTTCTCTATGAATTGGAATCTTTCTTTCTTGAAGAAGCTCTCTTTGGGAATGCCCCATCTTTTTCTGCTTGCTAAATCTGAATATGTTGGTGGCTCACCTGTCTCTTTCCTAGATATTGTTGTTTCTTTCTCTGTCATGCGCTTTCTCACCCATCTCTTTCCTAGATCTTGCTGTTTCTCTTTCTATCATGCACTTTCTCTTTCTATCGGCAAGTCGCATCAAACTCGCCTGAGTTGACACGAAAATCGGACCCTTGTGTCGATTCCACTAAAATCGATCATGCACTTTCTCTCTTCAAAAAGCTTTTTGAAAGTGATGACCGATTCCACTAAAATATATCATGCACGATTCCACTAAAATATATCATGCACTTTCTCTCTTCAAAAAGCTCTTTGAAAATGCCTGATTCCACTAAAATATATCATGCACTTTCTCTTTTCAAAAAGCTCTTTGAAAATACTTCATCTCTCTCTACTAGTGACTGAAAAATCGACGAGTCACATCGAACTCGCCCGAGTTGACATGAGAATCAGTCCTCTTGTGTAGATTCTACTAAAAAAATTGAAATTCCCGGTGATTTGTTACGTCTAACAAATCGCCGCATGATGTCATGAAGCACCGATTCTTCTACACTGTATCCGCATGACATCATGAAGTGCCATTCTTCTACAGTGTATGAGCATGATGTCATGAAGCGTCGATTCTTATATAGAGTATGACATCTAACAAATCGCCGCATGACGTCATGAAGCGCCGATTCTTCTACAGTGTATCCGGATGACGTCATGAAGTGCCGATTCTTCTACAGTGTTTGAGCATGATGTCATGAAGCGCCGATTCTTCTATATGTATGAGCGCCTGAAGCGCCATTCTTCTATAGTGTATGAGCGCCGATTCTTCTACAATATAAGATGTGGGCATTCTTATAAATTTCATAGTAAAATAGGTCAAGGAACTAGGTACATGAGGTTCGCACACCTCCCATGCATCCCTAGTTGTTTTGCACGCATTACAAACGTTGAGTACAAAGAAGCATTTATTCACTTGGGTTTTCTTCCACCTTTTCGATGTGAGATATTGTGAAAAGGTAATAGCTTGAAACGTTTATATATTATAGAACTTTATTTACGCTATTGATATCACCATGTTGCATGTGGTATACCCAATGGTTTAAAAAACAGATCGGTGCCCTGGATCGAGCACCCAAAAACTCATCCGAATCGGTGAATAGGCGATCCCGATCAGGAATCAGCCAAATTGATTTGATTTAGTCTTTAAAAAAATCCAAAAAAATTACTAAAATTTATTATAAATGTTGTTTTTTAGGAATCCAATAAAAAATGGGGGTACTCCATTAAGAAGTTTCATTTTTTTGCATAAATATATAAATATTGATATGCTTTTTCCTACATAAACTACTGTTAACCATTAAATTTACATCACACAAAAGGATAAGCATAGAATTATCATAAATGAAGTATATCATCATACATGGACTACAATAAAGAATGGATTAAATCGATGAAAAAATAGTCACCAAAATCTCGCATTGGTAGAAAACCTAGTCCACTAAAAAACCCAAATTATTACAACCTAACTAACTATAATCCAAAATTATTACAACATAATTAATTATAATATTATACACTTAAATTGAAATTGTTGGTTTACATTTTATAATTATTTTACTATACAAATAATAACAAATCCAAAATATCTTATAATATCATCTAATTTTAGATATATTATTGACCACTGTAAAAAAAAATAATACATTGTAAAATTTATAATGCAATTTTTTTTTTCCAAAAATCTAGTTTTTTTAAGTCTCTAAAATAAATTTAGTAGAAGAGATTGTTAGTAGAGATAGAGCTAGATATTTCAAATAGCCTTAGTGTATGAACCCTATCTTTAAATTAATATTCCTAAATTTATGTTAATGACCATCATGTTATAAAAATAAAAAATATAATTAGACAATTTATTCCTAATTAAAAAAAAATTCTAACAATAGTCATTTCATATATGAGAGAAAAAAAAAAGAGCTAACATGCTTCAAGCCTATATTGTATTATCTTTATATATTTAATTTAAGTTTACGAAAATCGCAGCTCAAATGCGTGTTTGAAAAACATGATACT